TCCAGATCCATCTTCAGCCATCCCCGCCTCCTCTTCTGTCTCATAATATTCATGGTCAAAATTTCCTCCACCCTTACTACCATGGGTAGCACCACCACTTATAACCTTGCACTCCATCACTGTTATCATATCAGCTGGAGCCAGCGATGGTCCTGGCTGGGAGCTGTTTTGCTCGTTATCCAAACTGCATTTTTTCTGACATGTTTCTTTCTCATGTCTCTTCCTCTTTCTGCAAAGAAAAATGGTAGAGTAGATTTTATTCTTTGCATGTACATGTATGTGTTACATGTATAAATGAAACAGAGGGAAATCACTGATATGTAGTAGTCAACTGAAAGAAAAAGCATACATTTATAACTAGGAAAAAAGGCCAAGCATCGGTATGTAGAATGTGCACATACCTTCCTTCACTCATTTTGACAGCAAGGCTCTCAAACAGGTCTCGCTCCTGACCTCTCAAACTTGACTGGAGGTTCCACACATCCCGTTGACTCATGTCGGCAATTTCAGGACTCTCAACTTTATGGAAAGGGGATGTACTCTGAAAAAACCTGTTTTTGCAGGTCTTATATAGCCTTACCAACATTGATGTTATGTAATTCTAAGCAATTTCATGCTATATTATAGTGTCATGCTAATTCCAACTCAAGTGTTATGCTAAGTAACATTTTACATCATAAAATGTCACTAATAATAAAAACAGACTATTTTCCCCTCCTAGTGCCCAGTAAAAAAATCCAGGGCTTTCTTTCATTCGTCACNGGTAATTTCAGGACTCTCAACTTCATGGAAAGGGGATGTACTCTGAAAAAACCTGTTTTTGCAGGTCTTACATGTATATAGCCTTACCAACATTGACGTTATGTAATTCTAAGCAATTTCATGCTATATCATAGTGTCATGCTAATTCCAACTCAAGTGTTAGGCTAAGTAACATTTTACATCATAAAATGTCACTAACAATAAAAACAGACTATTTTCCCCTCCTAGTGCCCAGTAAAAAAAATCCACGGCTTTCTTTCATTCGTCACTTTTCATAGTTCACTGTGAACTGACAGTGCCAAGGGTGTCTCAAAAACCACTTTACTAGAGAACCCATTTGTCCTCCCTGGCACTCCAGTTGTTGGCATTCATGGGATTTATCCTCCATTGCACTCCACTTGGAGTTTGAAAATCACTCCACTGGTAATGCAAAGAATCCTCCAACGCACTCCAGCTGCAGTGCGTTGGCAGTGCGTTGTTTAAAGCTTGGTCGATATTCCCTTTCTGTGGAATTTGGGGGGTAACAATACTTTTTTTGATATTGGTAAAACTAATTCAGTATTATCGTGTGTATGGGCCACGGCGCAGCGTTTCCTGTGTATTGTCTATGGGATTTTGTGTGCCACAACACCAACACTCTACCATATTAATTAACTTAGCGGACTTTTTCGGATAAAAAAAAAAGGTACATATTAGGCATAATGTCCGGCGACGCAAACCTACGGAAGTGTTAAGGAGACATGATTTATGACAAAGGGTGTAACGGTTGTCACACACTTTCAGGTTCCGATAACTTCACAGGATGCAATTATTAGTTCTCAATTAACACTAAATACTGATTTATTCGGCGAGTACAGTCATCAAGGATCACATTGTTGATCGGCCATATTGAATTATATCCCAGCATGCACTGTCGGTGTCATGACGTCATGGAACAACAGTCATGTCATCTGGTGCCTGTTACTAGTAAACAAATTAAAAACACTCTCAAAGATATTCAATTCCAAAACAGGAAGAAAAATTACGCAAATAAAAAAAAATTAATAATGGGACATCAAAAATTGACTCGGACATTAGTGTACAATGTACCACTATGACTTTATACATCACACAACAAGCATACAGTGTATATCCAAGGACCTAAATCAATTTTCGCAGTATATGTGAGATCCCAGTCGAGTGAATGAGCAACTGAACACTATAACTAACTCACTGGATATCGGGTCACTTCAAGAAGATAAAGTCACATACCCAAATATTAATGGGACGGAGGGTTCGAAGTTGTTGATCCTGAGGGTATGTTGAATGTACAAATAACCTAATCAGACAGTGGACGT